GCCGGGGGTGTGTGTGTGGGTGGTGGGGGGGGGGAGTCTGAACCAGGCAATGCTTTGGGGTTGTGGTGTAGACCTTGGGCCTGTTGAGCTGTGGTCCTGAGCAGAAGGGTCTCTGACAACGCTGTGACTTCACTGGTTCAGATGCTGACGCTGGACACAGAGGGTTGAGCCAAACCTGGAAAAGGCACACTGATGGTGCCTGGCCCCACCCCTCCCCCAGTGCCATCCCTATCCCAGCCCTACTCCTACACAAAATGTGCTTCCAGTAAGCAGGACCTCCCAAGACCTCTTTGGAATGGGGTGAGGACCAAGGCTACTCAGGAATGTGGCCATAGGAGGTTGGACATTTGTATGCCTGTCCAGACACCCACACATTATCCATCTACTGATCCATCCTTATATTGATCCATCTACCTATCTATCCTTTCATACACATGTATTTTACCCATCCATCCATCCATCCATCCATCCATCCATCCATCCAATTTCTGTCTCTCCATCTATAACATACACTGTCTTTTGTACTGGGATACAGTTCCCTGGGAACCTGGCAAATAGGTACTCTCGGCTCTCCTGAGAGCACACCACCAGTGACATTCTAGTTACTCTTCACTCACCCTCTTGGCCCCTCTGCAGCCATCCTTCCTGCACCCGTGGTGCAGCCTCTCAGCTGTATAGCACCACCATGCCTGGTCCGGTTTGAGCCCCTCATCTGGTTTCCTTAGGCCAAGTGGAGTAGGTGAGGGCAATGGGTACTGACCCACACATGTGCCACCATGGCTGACAGAGCTGGGTTCACACTCAACCCAGCACAACTGTACTGTGTGAGCACAGTTGTGTCACTGGTCATTTCTTTCAGGCAAATGGCAGAACCTACTAGCTAAGTAAATATGCTATGTGAGACACATCCAAAGAAGGACTCATCAAATGTTAAAATGGCAGCAGAGCAACTGGCAAAGGGGATGAGGGACAGGCAGATTCCTCATGGAGAGCACAATCACCCAGTCTCTTAGCACAGATTCATTAAACTACATTCTTTTAAAAATCTGCTTTGAAAATAAGAACTTATAAAAAGGGGGGGGACGCCAAATTCTGCCCAAAGTTAACTTTATTATTTTTTTGTCTTCTCAAACATATCAGATCAAATACGCCACTTGCTAATCTTGAAGCCAGCAAGATCAGGAGGCATATTCGGCCATCCTCATGTCAGTGCTCCTGGTTCTAGGAGAAAGTATTGAGGACTGAAGCAGCTTCGGAGAAACCAGCCACTCCCCATTCCCACTGCTTTGTTTTGATAAACAAGAATAAGTTACCACCTATGACTGCTGCCTAACTGCTGTGCACCAGTGGTCCACAGAGAGAGTTAAAACATGGACCAGACCCCCTGCAGGATCCTAAGTTGCCACTGTCTAATCTTTACTCCTAGTCTTTTTTCTCCTAAAATACCTAAGGCCTGGGGTTGGGATATCACATCTAAAAAGCATCATGGAGACCATAGTCTGCTGCTTGGGAATGTCAGGGGGCTCCCTCCTATCCTGTGCACAAGTGTCAAAGGTCATAAGTATCTTGACACTCATGATGATGCTCCATGATAGTGCCAAGGCTTGAGATTCTGAACGTGGCTTGTACTGCTAAACCCTATCAAAGTATCCTCTGTCTGGATCCCCTCCTGTAGAACTGGCAGTGGCAGGGGTGAACTAGGGCATGGGCAGCGTGTAGCAAGGCCAATGAAGACCTGAATCCTTGTGGGAGAGTGCCATTCCTGAGAGTCAGGAGCACCCACAGCTGCCTCAGGTCCTGAGCCCCTCTGGAATGCCAGGGGTGAATGGGCAGTGAGGTGGCCACCCAAGCGTCTTCCCTGACACTGCTGCCAGGGTGAATGGGTAGTGAGGAGGCCACCCAAGCATCCAACACTGCTCTAGGGCTGCCTACCTACTTCAAAGAGCTGCTAGTCATTCTTGACACCTTTTAGGTTCTGCCCATCCAGGAACAGACCTGGATAGGAATTGCTAGGTGTGTTTACTCTATCCAGCTTTTCACTCAACCATCAATCATTAAGTAGCACCACTACACAATTATCTTTAACATGGTCCCTAAACACAGCAGCCTTTACAGCTGCCCTTTTATCTGGATGGGACTGAATGCTAAACAGAATTTCATGTATGCTTCAAAATAGAAGCCAACCCAAGAGCACCTTAGAAACAGGGGCAGCCTGCAGAACTCTGTAGTGACTAATGGGACCTGCATGAGATGCACTTTCCCTAATACAGAACCGAAAACCTACTCCTGTAACAGTGCCCCTCCCCCTTTGCAAGCCAAACTTAAGCTTTGTGTTCTTGAATTTCACATAAAACTCTTTTACATGCTTCTCAGATGCCATCAGTCTGGAGACACAGCACAGGCCAAACATAGTGTGTGGCTGGGAAGGCCCTGTGGGTCAGGAATGCCTTCCGAGGAAACTGGTCATGAGCCCAGGGCTTCAGCCAAAGCAGCTAGCAGTCCCCTTGTGGAGACAAAGCAAATAGCCAAGACATGGATTATATACCCTTCTGATAAGGAGAAAGCTGTCAATATGTACATGGAATAGAATCCATGGTGAGGGAAGAGTGGATGTGGACCCTGGAAACAGACACAGGGCTTGCACCAAAGTACTTGGAGGTGACCTGGGGGAACCCACCATCCCACTGGTGACATTCAGGCTGAGGGTTGTATAGCACCCTCAAAGTACTCTCTATGCATGCCAGTTGCCCTCTGCCCACCCCCAACCCCGCAAAGCCCAGCTGTGCCAAGTGCTTTGATTCTAAATGGAGCCTCCTTTTGGCCAGTGATTGACAGACTGCCCTGGCCAGAGTGTACAGGCTACCAGGGTTGACAGAATGAAACTTCCAGTGGGTACTTCGCTAGATTGTTTCACAGGATGCAGCTGTGATGGCAGCAGAGGTGGAGAATCCTGAGGATGAGACGTCACCTTCGGTGTCTTCTTGCAGTGATGTGGCCCCTCTCTGGAGGCTCAGCTGTGCGGAGGACCTCACTGTATTGAGTTACAGTTGTGGCATACGGCAGGGGCCACTTGACAATATCCTGATCATAAATGAAGGTTGGTGTAAAGAGAAGGCAAATAGAGCCATCTACTTTCCAAGCCTGGTCACGAACAACTCCAGAGAAAGTCTCACGAAGGGATCAGAGTCCAGGTCGTAACTCATGTGTCCAGATGGTGTAACTTGATTCCTGGGGAGTATCCCTAAAATTATTGCAGAATAGCCACTTAAGGCCTTTTTGAAATTTGCATGGTCGGCATGGCTAAAATCTAGCAAGCCAATGCCCCCAAATCAGCAAGTGCCATTTGCTGAGAACAAGTTATGTGAAAAGCGACTCAGATGTACATAGAACCAAGGCGAGGGTGCCAGGTATGTATATGGAATTATTGACAAAGCTGTCTTTTCTAAAACCAAGATTTACCTATCAAAAATAAATCTCTAAATCTAAATGGATATGTCAACATAATTGGTCTGTAGAATTTTTCTTAAGTAACTTTCACACTCCCAAGCTCAAGGTAGCTGGCTTCTCAGCTTTGGGACTCTTGCTTAAGACACTTCTTCAATTCCCCGAGCAAAGAGGCGCACCAGCTGGCAGTGGACCCTGCAGAGGCAAACAGCTGCATTTAAACTCCATGTGTGTTCCATCACTCACAGCCAACCCGAGGTCCACACTTCCCAGAATCTGACAGTTCTCCCTTAGTCTCCGAATGTTTGCACAATCACACTAAATCAATAGTCTGTTTGCAAAAGACAACTTACTTTATTCTCTCTATGAGGACAGACTTTGCTTTGCTCTCTTCTGTTGGGTTCTATTCTAATACCACATGTTGGGGAAGAATTGCTCCCTCACCAGCAAGAGTGGGCATGCAAGCCAGCCCCCCTCCAGCCTACTCATAGCTTGGATGCTGGACACTCAGCTTTGGGACTGTTGCTTAGGACACTTAAGTTCCCCGAGCAACGAGGTACGAGAGTAACCTGAGTTCTGAGGCTCAGCATCAACCCTGGAAGTTTGGCTAAGAGTGACTCTGAGCTCCCCTCAGGGACGTAGGTGACTGAATGGGCAAAGTCACTCAGAACCAGCCACTTGGCTTTTGACTCTTGCACATGTCCTTACTGGCCACTCTAAGCTTCTGAGGCCCCCAAGTCTGTATGGCCTCTAAAGGCCCCTCTGAGACTCCTCCCCCCACCCCCTCACCCCCGCCATAGCTTTGGGATGCTCTTCCCAATACCTCTGACTCCTGCCTGGTGCTGCTCATCTCTACCTTGTGCACCTATCCCTGGCCATGGAGGTCAGATACTCCACGGGGAAGTTGAGGGGATCTAGGACTTAGGAAGTACTTGTGAAGTCAGTTAGTTTGATTATTTTTCTAACTAGAGAGAGGGGAGGGTGTGACTGTGGCAGACACAGACCAGGGGCAGAATTTAGAGTATAGGAAAGAAAGAGGCTAGAACAGAGGAAACTCAAAATCCCATGGATATGTCTGCACAACAGAACCACAAAATAAGCACCTGCCCTATGCAAACATCAGACCACACAGCTTCCACCTGGCATAAGAGGACATGGAGGAACAGTGCCTCTGTTTTCCGCCACAAACCTGGTGAGCTCTTGCTGGAGTCTTCAAGGACACTTTGGCAAAAGTGTCACAGCACTTGTGACAGACATCTGGGCAGGTGGCTTGGGTCCTCCCCACTCACCTGACCTCGATGGCAGAGCTGTGCAGGATCTCTCCATCACAGTTCCAGGAGCTTCTAGAGGCCAAGTAGTTGCATGAAGAGCTATCACTGCAGATCTGCCCAAACCCCTGCTTCCCACATTCCTTCAGATCACTGTCCTCATCTTCCACATGCTTTGATATGAACTGGAATTTCTTGACTCGATAAACTTCGACAAAAGTGAAGTCAAACTGCCGAGGCAAACATGGAGGTGCCAGCCAATCAGTGAGACCCACCTTCCACCCCTGCTGGTTCAGTCAGCCAGGACTCATGGCCTTGTGAAAGACACAATAGAGCAGTGTCTCCAAGCTACAAGTCCTTCTCATGGTACAACTTACAAACAACATGTGTACTGCCCTCCCAGGAGCTTCAGACAACTGCTGATACTTTTGACATCTCAAGTCTCAGGCTAGAGAGATGGCGCAGGGGTTAAGAGCCCATACTGCTTTGTCAAGGACCCAAGTTTGGGTTCCAGCACCCACATTCAAGTGGCTCACAACCACTTGTAACTTTGGCTTCAGGGGGATCCAACACTTCTGGTCTTCACAGGCAACTGCACTCATGTGCACATGGACAGACAGACAGACAGACAGACAGACAGACAGACAGACAGAGAGACACACACACACACACACACACACACACACACACGTAATTTTTTAAAATCCTCCACAGATAGTACTCTAAGAACTCTGTGGTTCATTAGTGGTGATTAATTATTTATTTAATTGTATATGGGGGTGGGCGTTGTCTATACATGATGTGCCTGCCTGGTGCCCATGAAGGTCAGAAAAGAGCATTGGGTACCTTGGAACTAGAATTACAGACAATTGAGGGCCATCATGTGGGTGCTGGGAATCGAACCCAGGTCCTCTGCAAGGACTACCAGTGCTCTTAACTGCTGAGCCATCTCTCTAGCCCCTAGATTTATATTTTCAAATGAAATTTACATGAAGGAACCGCTTAGGTTAATATGTGTGAAATACACATCCAATTATCTTCTTTCCTTGGAGTTAACAACGGATCCCACAAACCAGTGGGGCACCGACTGCCCAAATATGAATGACCTTGGGACAAGAGTGCACCTCACCTGATCGTCCTGGTTGGTGTGGCGGACAAGGAATCTCAGGAAGTTGAACCTGGAGCACTTCCGGATGAGGATGAGGTCAGAAGACCCATCTCCCAGATGGGCAGCAGGGGACAGGCCCCCAGGGCTCCGGGGACAAGCACAGGACATGTTGGTGGCATTGATAGCCAGGAACTTCCCACATACCACTTGCCACTCTTCCATGTCCTCTGTAGAAGACAGCAGTTAGGCGCCATGGTCAACGTGGTGCAGAGGCAGCTACACAGCTGCAAGGGACGGGAGCTGGTCTCTCTCTTGCTGTGTGTTCTTGGCTTTCATTCTGGCCTGACTAGATACCATGGTCTTATGGGGAGCAGGCCATTTCCCTACTCTCCATAAGAGCAAGCACTTTTGGACAGCAGTTTAACAAGGGTAAGTAAACTGTTACAGGATCTTTTAACAGGGCAAAAGGCATGTTATATTTGTTTATGCTGCGAGTATTACTTTAACTGTGTAAAGGTGTTTGTTTATGCTGCACTTGTTTAACAACATAAGGATGTGTGTTTAATGATGTAAAGGTGTGTTGCATTTATTTCAGCTTGCCTAAGGCACCTGGTTAGCCAATAGCTAGGCAGGAGAGGGATAGGTAGGGCTGGCAGGCAGAGAGAATAAATAGGAGGAGAAATCTAGGCATGAGAAAGAGACAGTGAGAGAGGGAGGGAGGGAGGGAGGGAAAGATGGAGGAGAAAATGAGGGAGAAAGAGATGGACACACCTGGGGCCAGAAACCAGGCAGCCACCAGCCAGCCAGACACAAGAAGTAGTGAAAGTAAGATATACTGGAGGAAGAAAGGTAAAGGGTCCCAAGGCAAAAGGTAGATAAAGAGAAACAGGTTAATTTAAGTTAAAAGAACAAGCCAGAAATGAGCCTAAGCTAGGCTGAGCATTCATAACTAATAATAAGTCTCTGTGTCATGATTTGGGATCTGGTTGGTGGCCCCAAAGAAAAAGCCTGTTATAGCAGACCTCTGCAGGGCTTAGTCTGGTCTATCATCTCTTTCTGTGGCATATAGGCTAAGAATGGTTGCCAGAGATTTGAATAGTCAGAAAACATTAAAAGAACAATAGCTTGCATGTGAATGCTACACAAAACTCGAGTCTCAGAGGTCCTAGACAATGCTATAGGCGGGGGCCCCACCCACTTATTCACACACTGTAGCTGCCATTCTTGCAGGGTAGGGATTTAACAAAGACCTTGCGGTGACTAGAGCAGAAGGTACTCATTCAGCCAGGCCCAAACAGGATATTTGCCCATCCATATTCCATAGTAGCGGTGACAGCAGCCTGGACTCTGGTCAGCCTTGTGACAGCAATCGAAGGCCTTTCCACAAATATCTAGATTCTCTAGCCTCTCCAAAGCTGCAATGACTCGATGCTGCCTTGAGCTAGAGATAAAATTGACACAGTACAACCAGGAAAAGAAGGAGATAAGGTGGACAGCCAGAAGAGGTCAGATACTGAGAGCCACACACACGAGAACACACTTGCAAAGATTACCAGCATTCTCCAGGCCATACAGGGCTTTCTTCTGTTCTTCTTCCAGCTGCTGCTTGCTCTGCCTGCACACGAAGCACCTAGAAGAGAGTGTGGTCACCATGCCTCTATTGCATGCATTGGGTACATTTAAACACCACTGATGCCCCTGGTCTCCACACACAGAAAAGCATTTAAATTCTTTTTCAGATCACAAAAGCCTCAAGTTTCAAAGATTTAAATAGAAATTCTTTTTTTTCCTTTTTTCTGGACAGAGTTTCTCTATGTAGCTTTGGAATCACTCCTGGCACTCGCTCTGTAGACCAGGCTGGCCTCAAACTCACGGAGATCCGCCTGCCTCTGCCTCCCAAATGCTGGGACTAAAGGCGTGTACCACCACTGCCCAGCTGGCTTCAACAGAAATTCTTTAGCATACTACTTTTGAACTCTCAAGATTACTACTTAATTCACACCTATTAATCAGCAGCTCCCATCTCCAAGGCTTGCAAACATCTCTAGGACAGGCTTACCTGCCTAGCCCGGGATGCATCAATGGTGACGTGAAAAATCCACCAAGTAGCCTTAGAGTGAAAACGCCCTTATCTCAGGTGACAAGCATGATGAGCCTATGCTCTGGTCAGTATGTAACTCAGAGCTGAGCCACTGACGTAGTGCACATTTCTCATTTGGGTGTGGGTGCAGCTGGCCTAGTCTTGGACCTGTACTTTGAGTCTGCAGCTTGGGGAGAACATAGCTGATGTGCACATTGCCAGGATGGAGATGTTGTGCCAGCTCTTCTAGAAGCATCTGTGAACTGAGAAGCCCTACACAAACCTATGAAACTTAGTGTCTTCCCTCTGTGTTTAGAAAGCAATTCTGCAGCCACTGTCCTAACAGGAATAGGCTTCCAAACAGCCCTGTATATGTCAAGTCATTTACAATGGAAACCCACATAGAAATGCAACTGCTTACCCGGCCCGGCAAGGTTTCTTGTCCCGTGGAGATCCCACTGTGTGCTGTGCTGGGAGGAAGGACACTGTCCCTTCATAGTACTGATGAGAGAGAAAGGTCTTCAGCCCTGGGGAGAAGAGCCAAGGACATGTGTCACTGCCTGGTAACCCCCCCCCCCACCACCACCACCACCACCAAGAAGACAGAGGTCTGAAAAGGTAGCTCAGCAGACAAGAGGACACCGGTTGGATTCCCAGCACCCATACAGTGGCTCACAACCATATGTAAATTCAGTTCCGGGGGATCTGACACCCTCTTTTGACCTCTGTAGGCACTAGACATGTATGTATTACTCAGACACACAAAAATAATAATTTTTTTTAAAAAAGAAAAGAAGACAGGAAGCTGAACAGTCTGCAGGGGGCAGGAGGGGCCTTGCAGGTGACGCTGCTACTGTACCAGGAGGAGATACAGATTCTGCCCTCCCCACAAAGGCCCAAGTACAGCACCAATGAAAACCACCGGTGAGAGGTGTGATCAGGGCTTTGGCCACATATCCAGGCTGCCTTCACGTTGCCAAAGCAGGGTATTAGGCAGTATCCACCTTGCATGAACTCGATGGTGTGGCCTGTGTGGCCTGATGGCTCAGGGTCTCTACCATCCCTCTTCAGTGTGGTCAGCAATGCCCCTGCCTCCTGTGTGCTTAACACCCACCAGAGTCGTTATCATCCATAACATTAGGGGTCTCCTGGGTGAACTTAGGACCAAGGTCAGTGTGGTACTGCTTCCTAAAGGGCCTACTGTGCAGTGCTATCTGTGGTGCCAGCTGCATGGTGCATGTATGATGGGCAAGGCCAGCAAGCTGGACTGCTGGGCCTCTGAGAGCAGGGAGTGAGCAGGAGGCATTCGAGAGTCCAGGTATGTCCTGCAAGTCTTAGGATGACCACTTGCTCTGGGAGCAGATGGTCCTCTTTATCTAGTTCATGTATGTTGTGATGTGATAGTGGCCTTGAGGAGTCTACCCCATCTAACCCCTAGTACACAAAGCCCTTCCGTTCCACACAGGGGCCCAGCCCCACTTCATCATAGCCTCACCTATAAGGCCACAAGCACCTGTCCCCCTGGGAAGGTTCCTGGCTCCTCTCATCTTATGGGTGCAGGGGGAGCTTTGTGGAGAATGGCTGTGGATCACGGGGCTTCTGTTGCCTCTGCCTGTGTTGGCACTACCTTCTCTTCCCACTTACTCCCTGAGGCCTCCAGGAGATGTCCAGTGTCCAGCGCCCTGGAGGAGCTGGCCCACAATAAGCAGTCCAGTCGTGTGTAGTGAGTTCTTTCATCACAAACAGACACCTCTTTCCAAACCCTAGGTTCCCACCTCAGCTGTCGTCAGCCAGCCCTGGCACATCCACAAGTCCAGGACAAAATGCTCCATTTCACACCTTGCTCTCCTTCATAAAGCTCTCAACTGCCCAGCACAGTGGACATTTCTACCTTGTGGCAGCCAAACACCAACATCAACAAGTGAGCGCTAACACCCTCAAGTGGTTCTGTCAGGACTGTAATATGATTGGGACAAAGACCCAGAGGGATGTTCCTGCCTGAGAGGAAGGATGGGGCTTCTCAGATGTGTTCTGAGAGGATGGAGAAGGAAGGCACTGGCCAGAGGCTCTGAACCAGCAAGGGCTCCGCATCCCAGCAGATGGGGGCAGGCACAGTAACCTCAATATGGAAATGGTCACAGTTGACCCAGCACCCAGAACCCCTCTCTTCTGGAAGCGCTGGGTGTACATTGTACCTCTGCCACACCAGTGTCCTCTCACTAGGAAAGGGATGGGTTTTGGTGCTTGGAGTCATTAAACTTTACACAGTTTTGGCAATAGCGAACTGTAGAGAACAAGGCCCTGAAAGGGCTGGACCACCAGAATGCCTCACCTGCATTTCATGTCTTTCCTCCTAAGCTCCTCTCCTTGACATTTTAAACCTCATGGGGGTGGGAGGAGGACCCATCCACTACCTGAAACCAGCAGGTGGTAACTTTTGGTATAGCCTGAAGCTGACCTGCATTTCTCGTTCATCCAGACTTGGTGATTAGGTAAGAGGGGACATGGATATTATCAAGGGTTCTATCTGCATCCCGAGGGCACTGGCGGACATGCTGTTTGCAGGTCTGCCCCACAGTAGCTACACTTTGGGAAGGCCCTGAGGTCTGGACTCTAACAAGCCTCCTGGGAACACTGATGCTTACTTCCTCTGAGAGCCACCGACCTGCAGGAAGAGTGACACTGGACCTGGGCAAGTTATTTAAGTGCCTATTGTCTCAACTGTGAAATGGAGATTGAGTTCCTGCTGCACAATAGGAGGGTAAGGGAGGAAGGGGAACACCTGTCTAGTGCTCCTCCTCCCCGCTGGAGTACCACTGAAGTAGATGCATGCTCACAGATGCAGTGGAAAGGCTGATGGCCACTGCTGTAGAAGCTCAGGAAGGCACTGCATTCACGGAAGGGGAAGATGTGGCCCTAGATCTGAAGGGGAGATGCCCAGGGCTGCCGCACTTCTTAATAGTGCAGGTCCCTCCCAATTCACCTGCTGTGCTAAGCATGACCATAAAAAGGACCTTTTCCCATGAAAACATCTACTTTGATCTCTTGGGTTAATACCACTTACACGACAGATGATAAAGCCAAGCTTCCAGTCCACAGGGCCTCCCTCGGTCTAGTTCTGATGCATGCTGGGACTCTGAGGGGAACAGGATCTGGGCCACAATAGCCAGATTCAGGGTCATGTCCCCATTCTGGAAAGCAAGGCCCGGAGTCTGTCTCTGGGGGCACTGTGTGGATTAGCTCAATGTCTGTGGACACAGCATACCTGAGAAGTCGTATCTGATGAGGCCCATCCACCGTTTCTTTTCACTGTCCTTGATTAAGTCCCCGTAGAAGCCGTAGCCCAGCAGAGACACTGAGTACCGCAGCAGCGTACTGTTGTGGTGCACAGAGGATACGTCTATGGCCAGTGAGTCCCCTGTGGGAGAGGAGAGCTATAATCAAGCCCTGTCCCCACTCTGACCTCCTCTGCCCTGCCTCCGCATATACAGGTGGTGCCTGCCTGCTGCAAACACAAGAAACAGAACTCGCTCGGTGTAGCAATCTGGGTGACAAAACTCAGATGTGACAATGGTTATCTGGCTGCGACATCTGTCACGCCATTGCATGTACCAGGGTGGATTTAGCAGATCTGGTTGGTTAGGTGGGTGCCCCCTTCCTCCTTCATTGCTTTATCTGTGTCCCTCCCAGAGCTGCTCACTCACTCAGAGAGGATGACCTGGATAGAGGAAGTTCATTCATAGGCCCAGGGTATATGCTGGAACCTTTAAACAAGTTCTCCAAGGACAAAATTTGGATCCAATTTCCAAGTAAGGTCTGAGAACTGTTCTGAGGGGACAGAATGTGTCCAGGAGGGCTGTGCATGTTACTGACAGAAAGAAAAGTAGACCTGAGGTTGAAAACAGGTACACAGCTCTTAAAACACAAAGTTTGCCAAGTGTGGTGGTGCACACTCCTGCAATCCCAGCACCCAGGAGACTGAGGCAGGGGACTGTGAATTTGAGGCCAGCCTAGGCATATAGAAAAGGCTTGTCTCAGAAAAATAAAAAAATAAAAATTGCGCTGGGGAAGCAGAGGCAGGCAGATCCCTGTGAGTCTGGTAAGGAACTAAGTAACAGCCAGCTGGAACTACATAATGAGACCCTGTCTCAAAACAAAACAAACAAACAAAAAAAAAAAAAAACAAAAAAAAAACCCCAAAATCCCAAGTGGTTATTTTAAAATACAGTATTTCTATGATTGCAAGTAAGACATGACCCTGTCAAGAGTGACAGAGTAGGCAAGGATGGCAGCCATTTCTCAGAAACACCAGAACTCCTCCTGTGGGGTTTCTCACTTGGGACTGGAGCAGGGGCTGGGTGTGTCTGTTACTCAAGAAGTAACTCACCCTGGAGTCTTGTAGATTTCACAATGGGGATTAGCCCTGATAGCCAGCTAAGGGAGGAGAGCAGGGGAGCACCCGAGACAGCAAGGCCACAATGATACTAGCAGGGGCCTGGGGGCTGTGCATAGGGCACCCACATGTTTAAGACTCGGGGTTAAGAGCATTTGTTGTTAAGAAGGACCTAGGTTCTTAACATGGAGGCTCAACACCTCCTCAGGCACCCTCAGACACATGACACACACACATACACACAAGTAAAACACTGATACACATAAAAATATAAAAACTTAGGAAAGTAAGCCTCACTCACCAACAATAATGTGCAAAGCCGATGTCTCTGCATCATTTGTACCCACTGTTGAGTAGCATATACAATCTGTGGACCCTGCAAAGAGGAGAGGAAAGCCCTTAGTGCTAATGGAACTGTCCAAAACTTCCAGTCAGCTGATCCTGTCCTTCTCTGGCCCTGGAACAGCTGGAGAACAAAGAGAATCCACCCGAAAAATGAAGGTTGTAAATACTGAAAATGGCCTTATGGTAATGTTGCATTGTTCCATAAAGTGGCTTGCAGCATACCCAGACACAGAGACCACCCTGAACCCTCTTGGAGCTTCTAAGAGATGTCTGCAGTGCAGGCAGCCTCTTCCCTTCCTTTGAAAGCTCTGGAAGACATGCGGCCCCTGCCCACCTCTATGTAGCTGCCAGTAGTGCCTCATAGCCAAGACCTTAAGAATAAGGGGAGTCCTGCACAGAGCACCGCCATGGGGAAGTACATGGAAACAAAGTGAACTGTGAGGGTCTTAGTTTTGTCAACTTGACACAACCCAGAGTCACCTAGGAAGAAAGAGCCTCAATTGAAGGACTGTCTCAATCAGATTGACCTGTGGCCATGTCCAGGAGGCCCCAGCCCACTGTGGGCAGTACCATCCCTAGGCAGATGGGCCTGGGCTGTATAAGAAAACTAGATAACTAAGCAGGTTTCTGCTTCAGTTCCTGCTTGAGTGAGTGCCTGTCCTGACTTTCCTTAATGATGGATTGTGACCTGGAAGTGTAAGCTGAATAAACCCTTTCCTCCCTAAGCTGCTCTTTTTTGGCGGGGAGGGGCAGTTGGGGTTTTTGAGACAGGGTTTCTCCGTGGCTTTGGAGGCTGTCCTGGAACTAGCTCTTGTAGACCAGGCTAGTCTCAAACTCACAGAGATCCACCTGCCTCTGACTCCTGAGTGCTGGGATTTTAAAGGCATGTACCACCACCATCAGGCCCAAGCTGCTTTTGACAGGGTTTTACCACAGTAAAAGAGAAGTAACTAGAACTAGAGCCTGAGATGACCCCAGCTTTTCTGGGTACCACCCCCATCCATCCATCCCTTCCTCCCTTCCTTCCTTCCGTCCTTCCTTCCTTCTTATTTTTTTCTTTTTGGTTTTTCAAGACAGGGTTTCTCTGGACAGGCTATAGAGCCTGTCTTGGAACTTGCTCTGTAGACCAAGCTGGCCTCAAACTCACAGAGATCATCCACCTGTCTCTGCCTCCCGAGTGCTAGGACTAAAGGTGTACATCACCACCTCCCGGCCATTCCCATCCTTTCTACTGGGTGAACAGGGGAGAGTTGCATGTCCCTGGCATCACCTTCCTTGCTCAGCCTAACCAGCTCCTCACTTTGTCCAAGGTGGTCATGATTGCACTGAATAATCAATTCCCTCAGAACTTTCCTTGACTTCAAGCTGAGGGGCAAAGGTGTCCACTACCACCACCATCCTCATCCTTATTGCACTGTCCTGCAGTCCCCACTGTGGTATCAAGCATGAATCTGCCTGCCTGCTACTTAGCATGGGAGCTGTCACCTGGCTGAAACAGAGCTGGGCAGAAGTCAGAGCTGAGTCAGCACCCTGAGAGTATTCTGCCAAAGAAACTCATTTTGTGCTTTAATGAAGTGAAAGAATCATCAGGGCTTTTGAACCAGCTGAATCCAGTGGAGGTCACACAAAGCCATTGCTTCAGATTTCATCCCAAGGACAGGTGGTTCACAGTCCACCTGGTGTTCCTCTGTGAAGAGGCTGCATGTGGCTCCCAAGGCTGTCATTCGACACTCTAGTGACACGGCCAGGAACGACCTTAGCATGGAGGGTCAGGTTGAAAAGAATGATCTGTGCTCACAGTAACACTTGGCTTTCCCAACACACTGAATGGTGGGAGTTCTCTGCCTGCAGCCAGTTGGAGCCACAGTCCTGGTGGCACAGCAAAGATCAAGTTTTGGACACGGCCCCTGCTAAGCAGAGGCCAGTTCCCAGAGCCTCTGGGAATAATGTGTGACTAGCATCACACATTATTCATGTGGCAACTTCCACAGAATCAGGGGCTCCGCTGTGGTCCCACAGGTCACTCTGATGGCCAAGTGATGACTGGTAAGGGACCTGCTAACAGTAAGGGCTCTACATCTTTGGTTAGGAAACTCAACTTGTCTTCCCTCAGGGTCTCTTAGTCCACTTGCCTTCATCTTAGAGCGTGTTCATCAAACCTGCCAATCAAGCCTGCCGATGAAGCTTCTCCCTCAGTCACAGCTAATGTCCCACCAAAGCTTTCCCCAAAGTACCTTCACAGACACACCCAGTAGTATGCTTTTCCAATTTCCTGAGCTCTCAATCAGTCGAGGTAAAAGTCAAGACCCTCTCACTGTTTTCAAAGAACTATGAACTTTCTAGTAAGGCATCAAACACCCAAAGCCAGACAGACACCCTCAGGACTCAGTCCCCCACACCTTCCTCCCAAAATGGCCCAAGTCCTGTCCTGAGTTCTGTCACTGCCTCCCTATCTGTGTCCCCTTCCTGAGGTCTGAGGACTCCTAGTTAGGTTCTTCTAGCCGACACCAGGCACAGATCCCAGTTCTCAGTTCAATTAGGAGTAATTTCTTCCAGACAGCCACCCCAACAACCCATCTCTGTCCGCAGGAGCCAGGTACCTTCTGACTCAAGGATAGCAGCCCCACTGGCCCCCAGATGTTGGCAGGGACTGTCCTGTGTGAGGCTGAGCTCTTAGGGCGCCAGGATAAGGTTCCTCCCAGATGCAGTCATGTTCTTTCTGCCATTCATAACTTATTTCATGGTAAGGAGTGGAGTTATGAGAAACTACTTATAGTTTTGGCTGGGCGGTGGTGGCACACGCCTTTAATCCCAGCACTCAAGAGGCAGATGCAGGCGGATCTCAGTAAGTCTGAGGCCAGCCTGGTCTATGGAGCAAGTTCCAGGACAGCCAGGACTGTTAAACAGAGACCCTGTCTCAAACCCCACCTCCCCCCCAAAAAATCACTTTTTTAAAAAACAGGGTCTAGTGTTGCCTAGGCTGAACTCACTATGTAACAGAGGTGATCTAAAACTCCTGATCCTCTTTTCTCTTCATCCTGATAGCAGAAATCACAATTTAAATGAAGGATTGACCAGGAATGATATCCCCATCCCCACTTGAAACCCTAATCCTAAGGAAGCATTACTAATGATATGGTGGGGGTGTGACCATAGGACTGGACATGCCCTGTGGCTGTACATGGAGAATTCCTCCTAATGACAACAGTGAAAAGAAAGCCATATGCGTGCCATACCTGCAGGGATGATGCCAATCCTGAGGGTACTGGGTACCAGCACGGCTCTGGGGTGATTGGGGTCGATGCCAGCGCTTTGCTGTGTCCTCCCGATCACCCCATGCAGCACCTCACTGAACATGCCATCCCCGCCAACACACACGATGCTGCAGGAGGAACACAGCAATGTCAAGTCCTATGCTTGCAGCAACTGGAGGCCTCAAGCACTGGGGACAGCTTTCAAGACTGGCCTGTCAGACACCCGGAAACTGGGCACCTGAACCACTCCCTATTCCATGAGGTCCCACCAGCCTGCCTATTCGGCTTTTCCAAACAACAGGATCCTTCACAGACCCCGGCTTCCCTGCTAGAGATGTAGCATTTTGGTGGTTTCTAAGCAGAGCGTTTATGTGTGCCTATCCACGATCAGCCATCATCGAAAAGCTATGGTTTGGGGCTGGAGAAATGGCTCAGAGGTCAAGAGCATGTACTACTCTTCCAGAAGACCTGGGTTTGATTCCCAGCACCCACATGGTAGCTCACAACTGTCTATAACTCCAGTTCCAGGGAATCTGATCCCCTCTTCTGCCTTCCATGGAACAGGCACACACATGGTACACACACTTACATATATGGAACCAAACCGTCATACACATAAAAAATAAATAATAGTTAAAAAATAAAACAAGGGCTGGAGAGATTGGTCAGAGGTTAAGAGCACTGACTGCTCTTCCAGAGGTACTGAGTTCAATCCCCAGCAACCACATGGTGGCTGACAACAATCTGTAATGAGATCTGGTAACCTCTTCTGGCCTGCAGGCATAATGTGCAGACAGAACATTGTATACATAATAAATATTTTTTAAAAAAATAAAGTAAAACAAAAGTATAGCTTGATCTGGGATAACAGTGGCAGAGTACTTGCCTAGCACACAAACACCCTGGGTTTAGTGCCCAGCACTGCAAAAATAGAGATTAAAGTTTAAAAAACACTGAATATTGAGATTCAAGCTTGCTGGGTGTGAATACTACCCCAGTGTGATAGCATTCCTACTGCTGGGAGGCTCCTCATAGGTAGGGGATAACATACGTTGTTCTGCTCTTGATCCAGTTGGGTGGCCTTGCAGTGCCCAGCAGTGAACCTCAGATGAGAGGGGAACACTGCTCCTGTTGTCAACCCCCAGGGATCTGGGCACAGTCTTGGGAACTCAGAAAACAGGAGCAGAGGGGACTAAGTGAAATAAGTGGGTCAGGAAAGCTGAGGGGAGCAAGCAGTGTGGGCAAGATGGGGTTTTCTGGGGTGCTGTCCAGTGCTGGGGATGATTGCAGAGTGGCATGGAGAACTGTGGGCATCCATGTGGGGGACACGTGTCCTGTGACAAGGAGGGAAGGCCAAGGACATTCTCACAGTCCAGGGCAACCCAATAGCTCCCACAGGGTAGGTCTTGGCTAGCATCCACTGTCTGTGACCACGAGGAACGCTAGTGTAACTCACCCATCATAGCTGTCTGTGTTGATCTCGTATAAGGTCTCCTTGGCTTGATTGGCATGCTCAGTAACTGTGGGGGAAACATTACAGGGGACCATTCATCTTCACATCATGGGACCCATATGTGCTAACTGCCAACTGATGCTATTTTATAAGAGGAAGTCCCATCTCAGAGTCACCTCACTCCTTACAAAAGAGTAAGGCAGCCTCCATGGGAAATAACCAGGCACGACCTGACATTCTTCACACTTGTCAACAACTAATTTCTTTTATTTTTAACTCATGTGCACGAGCATCTGCTTGCATGTATGCATGAGGACCATGTGCAAGCAGTGCCCACAGAAGAGGTCAGTGGATCTCTCAAGACAAATGTCACAGGTGGCTGTGAGCTGCTATGTGAATGCTGGGAATTGGACCCTGGTCCTCTGCAAGAGCAGCAAGTGCCCTTAACCACTGAACCATCTCTTCAGCCCCAATGAATAATTTCTTTGTCAGGGGCTGGAGAGATGGCTCAGCGGTTAAGAGCACTGATTGTTCTTCCAGAGGTCCTGAGTTCAATTCCCAGCAACCACATGGTGGCTCACAACTGCCATGAATGAGATCTGCATGCAGGCAGAGGACTGTATACATAATAAATAAAATCTTTAAAAAAATAATAATTTCTCTGGCAGCAATTAGAATAAATGCAGTCTCTGTTACACTTATTCCTTAATATACAAGTTACTTTTAAGCATTTTAGAATATACCAGAATGTAAGAAGACACGGCAGGGGAGCTGAAGAGATGGCTTAGGGGTTAAGAGCACTGGCAGCTCTTCCAGAACTCAGAGGTACTGAATTCAATTCCCAACAACCACATGGTAGCTCACAACCGTCTATAATGAGATCTGGAGCCCTCTTCTGGCATGCTGTTGCTAATTAGCCTTTTTTGGGGGGGGGGGGGGGGGGGGGGGAGGGAGAAGCAGAGTCTTACTATGTGACCAGGCTAGCCTCCGATACCTAGCCCTCCTGCTTCAGCCTCCTGAATGCTGGGATTACAGCCAGGACCAGCTGCACTAAGTATCTTGCTAATGGGGTTATACCAAGGCCCTGAAGGCTAGCAGGAGCAATGGACCACTCTGTCTCCCTCTCTAAAACCAGCACTGCACTGATGACAGAGTGCTATGACATGGGGGTAAGTCATGTTTTGTAAAATGACCCACGATGTGACATTCAGAGACGTCCACTGCTGGTATCTTTTCCTGCAAGGACTTCCTGCCCTCCAACTCTGTTCTTTAATTTCCTTGTTGTTCCTGTGAGCACTTTATAGGGGAAGTACATTAAGTATATTATTATTATTATTATTATTATTATTATTATTATTATTATTATTATTTGCATTCTTCCAACTGAGAACTGAGTTTGAAATGATCAACTAGGCTAAAGTCCTCTCCAGTGGTGGCGTGTAAGTCCCTCTCAGGCTGGCCTCTACATACTTGCCCCGGTGCCCAATATACTTACTGATGATTTCGGTGGTGATGGAAGCCAAGGAGAACAGAGGTGCTACTTTTTTTTCATAGATGCGCTTGCCCTGACCTTTTCCTCCAAAAGGGTTGATAAATACCAGCAAGTGCTTTGGTCTTGAAGCTGCAAAACAATATCCACACCAGTCAGTCACAATGGGTGCAATAAATTCAAGATCAATTAGTATGCTGCTGGTTGAAGAGGAAATGGGTTTTGACAAAGAATTCTTGGTCATCTGGGGCTGGAGAGATGGCTCAGTGGTTAAGAGCATTGGCTGCTCTTCCAGAGAACCCAGGTTCAATTCCAAGCACCCTCTTGGCAGCTCACAACTGTCTGTAACTCATGTTCCAAAGGATCCGACTCCCTCCTTAAAAAATAAATAAAATTTTTAAGAGAGAGAGACAGAGAAGTTATAGAATTCTTGGTCATCAAAGGAAAAAAGTGACCAGCTGTTGAGATGAGGGAGGGGCTTGGCACATGTGTGGAGCATCAGGAAAGTCCCTGTCTTAGCCAAGTCTCATGAGGCATGAACATGGATGTATGTACCTCCATCTGCCCGTGAGAAGGAAGAGGCTTTTGAGAACAAGAATGAGATGGAAAAACAGGGAGGAGCAGGAGGAGAGGAAGACAGACACACAGAGAGACAGATAAGTCAGATGGATGGACAATGAGAAGAGAGGCTCCCACGGCATCCTAGGCCTGGCTTCAGCCCTTCCTTCAGTCCCAGCCAGTTGGCTAGGTATTGTGGAATATTACTTTAACTATAGAAAGATGTGTTACATTTGTTTATGTTGCAGAGTATTTTTTTTTAGCTATGTAAAAGTGTGTTGCATTCATTTATGCTGCATAAAAATTCTGAGCCAAGCCAGGCATTGGTGGTGCACACCTTCAATCCCAGCACTCAGGAGGTAGAGGCAGGTGGATCTCTGTGAGTTTGAGGCCAGCCAGGCCTCAAGGTCTACAGAATGAGTTCCAGGACAGCCAGTACTGTTTCACAGAGAAACCCTGTCTCAAAAAACCAACAAAACAAAACAAACAAACAAAAGAAATTCTGGGCCAGCCCGGGGTACATCAGACCTCTCAAAATAAACAAGTAAAAGCAAATAAATACAAAATGAAGTAACTTAAAATAGTGGTCGCCATATTGTAAATTATGCTAAGATTATGCAAATTGTAGTTACTGATCAAAGTTTAATTGCTTCATTATTGTTATTTTAAAGAAAATACTGAATGTTAGAAAATCTGTAATACGTTTTGAGAGATGTAAATAATGTACACAGTCTTATATGTGGTGGAATGGGAGGTATTTAAATTCTAGGTTCTTTTTTTTTTTTAAAGGAAGAAAATGTTTATAAGAAAAAACCCTAATAAATAGTTATATTTTGCCATGAAAAAAAGAAACTTAAAGTATGTCTGCTTCATATTTTATCATTTCTAGTTGTCTCAGAAAAGCCAGATACAGAGCCAAGGAGATGGCTCAACAAAGTGGTGTTCGCTGTGCATACATCCACTTAGCTCCAATTCTCTACACCCACAAAAAAGCCAAGTGAAGCACCAGGCTTGGTGGTACACACCTTTAATCCCAGCACTTGGAAGGCAGAGGTAGTTGGATCTCTGAGTTTGAAGCTGGCTGGCTCTACTATCTATGGTGATTTCCAGGCTAGCCTGGTCCTCTACCTATAGTGAGTTCTGAGGCAACCTGGTCCACTATATATAGTGAGTTCCAAGACAGCCAAGGCCATGTAGAGAGATCCTGTCTCAAAACATAAAAGACAAAACAAAGCAAAAAAGTCAGGTGAAGTTCCAGAGTTAAGAAGATCACAGAAGACAGGAGGGTTGCTGGGCTGGCTGACTGGCCAGCCAGTCCAGTCAAATCATTGAACTCCTAAGAGTTCAAGAGACTGAGTTTCAAAAAATAGAGTGTGAAAGAGGAAGAGCCCTGATCTGCAGTCAGCCTCTGACCTCCACACAGGTGTACACACACAGATAGATAAATGCCTTCCCAGTAAGAATTCCCAGGCTTAAACACTTTCTTCACTGAAGTCCCTCAAACTACTTAAGAAACTCAGTCTCCCTGAGTGTGACCTTTTCCAAAGGACAGAAAGGGAAGCATTTCTGAGTGACCGCCATGGCATACCCAGATAGGGATATCACAGAAAGGAAGTCAGGAGCCTGCTTCTCCCCGAACCTAAGTGAGAACTCTTAAATGAGGTGTTAGGAAGTCAGATGCAGGGATAGAGAAAGGGATTGAAGATCACAGGTAAGATGGCTGTGAGAGCAGCGAGACTGTTAACAACCAGACCCAAGTGTGTTTTACTAACAGTCCTTAAATGACAAAACAAACAAAGCCAACTCGGAGTATGGGTGCTGGGCAGCTGTAAGAATGAACAACCACAGCCACACAGGATAAAGAGACAAGCTTTGCATTCACAATGTTCATGTCAAAGCCAGGTACAAAAGAACGGGTGCTGCTCCATTTTAATTTATGAAGCCAAAAAATAACAATAACAACAACAGGGTCACAGTGACCTCTGGGAAGAAGTGGAACCTGGGGAATATAGATGCTTAGTGTAAAAACCCACACGCTCAGAACACAACCATTTCTCTGGCTTATTCCAATAAAACATTAAACCAGGGCTGGGGAGGAGGCTGGCAGTGAAGAGCTTCTGCTGTTTTTGCAGAGGACTTAGGTTCAGTTCCCAGAACCCATGTAGCTCTCAGTTCCAGGGGATCCAGCACCCTCTTCTGGCCACCATAGGCACTGTGAACAAATGTACGCACATAAATGGAGTCAAAGCACTCATATACATAAAATAAAAATAAAAAAAAGTTTTATGAGATACCTTAAGGGGCTAGGGTTGGAGAAATGACCCATTAGTTTAGAGCACTTGCCATTCATACAGAGGACCTGGCTTCAATCACCAGTTCTAACATGGTGGTTCACAACCACCCATAATTCCAAATCCATGGGGGTGTGACATTTTCTTCTGACCTCCATGAGCACCAGGCATTCATATAGCATACACACATACAAGGAGGCAAAACACACACACACACACAAAATAAAGTGAATAAGTGTAGAAAGAATTTTAGAAACACATTAAACATCTGGAGGGATGGTGCATTTGGAAAAGAGCTTTCAAAGCAAGTACCAGGATCAGTTCAACTGCCAGAATCCATGTTCATAGTTTTCCAAAAGCCAGGGGGTGGCGCACGTGTGCACGCATGTGCACATGCGCGCACACACAGGCACACAGGCACACAGGCACACACACACACACACACACACACACACACACACACACACACACACACACACACACACACACACCAGCCACA